AATCCTCGGGCAGATCCATGGGAATGCAGCGTTCCCGTAAACTTCATCAAGGGATTCACCAACTCCTGACACTGAATTGTTCTTCTTCATCACCAAAAAAGAAAATCTCATTAACCTATGGGCTCTGAATGGAAGAAAACACTGATTGCTGAAATCTTGGCCTCAGGTGGAATTTTCCCTATAAAAACCACTCGTGCCAGGCTGGAGGTGTGTGGGCACAGAGGAAAACCTCTGCTGGGGCTGACTCCTTGTTGCACACCCAGGGCCGACCCCGGGCTCGGCTCTGTTCTTTCCTTGTGGCTGGCTAGATAGAATTTGATTGCAAAATAAATATTTTATATTTCATTTTAATTTGGCTGGACAAATTTTCGTTCATAACGCTGTCCTCCTGAGAGGCTGCCAGCAGCACTCACCGGGTAGCCAGGCGGGCCAGCAGCACCAGCAGCTCCAGGAGCGCCTCTTTCCCCGCCCATGCCAGGCTTCCCAGGAATGCCAGCCAGCCCTCTCGTGCCAGGAACGCCCTGCAAGGCCAGAAAAGCCCCTCAGACCCCCCAAAACACAGCTCTGGGGGGGCTAAGCCAGGGAAAGCCCCGTGGCTGATGCAGCTGGGTCACCTCGGGGTCCAAAGGTGCCACCTGCTCCAGGTGTAGGACATTGCTGTCCCCACACCCCACTTGTCACCACCCACACACAGGGTTTGGGGTTCCCTGCCCCACAGCCACACCAGGGATAAAAACACCCTGGAGTGGCACCCATGTCAGTTGAGTTTTTTGGGTTTTCTTGCTCTAGGGTTGGGATTAAATGTGTGAGGCAGTATTTTTTGTTTGGATTCAGATGTTTATTAGTTCTTATCTATATTATAGTCTCACAAACTGTGAGCTCTGTAGTACTTCACTCTAACAAATTAAAAATTGAACTGTATTTCTCTTTCTACAAGGTTTTTTAAGGATAAACTGTCTAATTAAGAAATGACACTTAAATTATTTTTACTTTTAACCCAATAACCAACCACCTGTGGCCTGCAATGTAGACTT